TATTTAACAGTAGGGCAGCAAAATCAGAAGCTGGGTTTGTTTTCCTTTAAGCTACCACTGAAGGGGTGACTTGACATACAGCAGTTCAACCGTTGGGTACATATGGGAGTGGCATGGGGGGGGGGGGGGTTCACTAAACTTCAACCACAAAGCCTAGGGCTATAGGATCACAACAGGACATGGGATCTCAGCATGCGAAGGAATGCGAGGTCAGGCCTGCCAGGCCTTGTTTTGGCCGAGATACATGGCCTCGCATGAATCTAAGGTCCTGCCGACCCCACTTGAAAAAAAAAAGAAAAAGATGGGAACGGGCCCAGGTCTTGAAAGGGGATATGGGGATATGCCGGGTATCCGTTTTCCCACTCCATTTGGTTCATTGGTCCATTTGAAAGGTACGCCCATAGTGTCAAAAGGTAGGACCTTAGAATGGCCTCTGACTTCAAAGCTGAAAGCCTTCAAGTCGCAACAATTCGCCAGGCGCCTCTTTCACCTGGCCCTTTAGCTTCAATGTGTAGCTGAAGGGTCGCGATGCGGGGCTGATCAATATTTTTGTTTGGTCCCCAAGTGACCATGCGTGACGTTTCTCAGTTGGTGGAAAGTATCATCGTTTTGGGTGGTGTTCAACCCTGGTCACCCTGTGTAAAGGACCTTTTGATCAACCCCCATGCAGATCTGCACAGGCGAGCCGTCGTTTGGATCTGGAAACCTCCACGGTTTGGACAAACTGGCGCGCCCACGCGGGTATCAGTTTTTTGTCTGCGGGGGGCAATGTGAACCGAGGATAAGCCACTGATTGACGCAGATTGACGCATGGCAGGTGTCTCAGGGATCCTTCACTTTTGGGGGCAACTCGTGCCCATGTTTCCCTTTTTGGTTTTAAGCATCACCATTTGGGGCAATTTAAAGCGATCTTTCTTTTGGTGGGGCGATGTTTCAAGGGGAAACATCGGGAGCCCTGGCAACAGTAGTCCCTTGATATATCTCTGCTGTGGTGACGTCGCGAGGGAGCGACCCTGAGTTCACCTTGTCTGCAGCTTGCGCAATGCCGAGACACACTGCCAGCCCATGTGCAACTGAATTGAAGTTGTTCCAAGAAGCTTGTGGTTAATTTCAACTGAACCGAATGTGTGAGACCTTAGACAACCATTGAAGCCCCCCCTCCAGAAAAAGACAACTCACAGGTCCGCTCGACTGTCGCCTCGCACATTCGCGTCTTGCTATGTATTGCCATGGCAGGCTGGGCCAGGGTACAGCTGAGAGAAAGCAAATTAACGCTGGCCTTCGAAGGGAAGCCCAAAGGAGGTTGTAAAACATTATGGCCGTGGGTCAACACCGATGGTACCATTTTGGGGTAGGTGCACCGCCCATTTTAGTCTATTGTGGGGATTGGGATGTTCACTGGGGGTATGGGGTTTTGACCCAGACCCACCTGGTGTGTGTTTTTAGGGTACCCGCAAGAATGATGGTTTTCCTTTTGGTTGCCCTTTTAAAGGGCAAAAAGGGGGTGCCCTCAAGAAAAATAGACAAGGGGCTGGCCTAGTGTTCGATTTTGTACCTGGGGCTATCTGCCATTCTATCACGGGATGTTGGGTTCCATTAACCGGGTTCCTTCCACCAAAGGACAATGTCTCTTGCATCCTCGAGAACCCATTTAAGGACATGTTGGGGTTACCCCCCCCTTGTTTGTGGCTTTCAAGGGAAACCAAAAGGAAAGCCAACCAATAGGAGAGCTCCCCGCTTGTTTTTTTTGTGGGTTTCAAGGAAAACCACCAGGAGAGCCGTTGCGCCATGTTAAAAAAGGTGCCCCCAAACAGACCGGGCAGGCCGCGGCGCTTTGCGAGCCGCTCTGCCAGTGCCTCAGTACACAGCGAGCATTCCTTTGGTGCGGTCCGGGTGCTTGGGAATGAACCCCGTTGGTTTTAAAGGAAACCGCCAGATGGATGGACTTGTTTTTTGGAATTGGTCATTCCTCTTTTCCATTGGCTCAATATCGGAAGCTTTGAAAGAAGCCCAAGGGGAAAGGGGTACCAACTAGGCACCGCACTCGTTTCGGGGCTGGGAGAGACTCGTGGGCCAAGGCGGCCGCCTCGCTGATGCAGCACGTTGGGGACACGAGGGCGGGGCGCAAGAAGTAGGACGATTCAAACTCCTCTCCTGATTTTGCGAGTTTCTTCTTTTGAGGGTGCCCCTTTGTAAATGTTTGTGGTTGTTTGTTGCTATACAGATATGTATATCTATGTGTGTATATATATAATACATATATATATGTATATAGATATATGTTTTTGGGTTGCTTTTCTGACCACCCACAGGAAATCCAATTTTGGTCCGTCAAGTGCTCCCCATGAGACTGGCCGCGGCGCGCGCTTGGCCTTCCAGGCGCGGCTGGTGGCGGAGTTGGCAAAGGCCCCGAAGGAGCTGGACGTCAAGGCGTCCCAGTGGCCGTGGCTTTCGAGTTTTCGCGCCTTTTCGTGGTTGAACCAAAGGTTTTTTTTTTTTTCAAAGGAGCAACAGGTTCAGGGCTCCTTAAAAGATGTTCATTTTGCAACCATCCATTTGAAGCATGTGGCTTTTTCAGCACCAAAATAAAGGGACGCCATTATTTACAAGGCAATGCTCAGGTGTATAATGTAAGGATCCCTGATGTTCTTCCAGGAATATGTCAGTATTTTCCCTTTTGTTTGTCTATTTTTGAAAGGAATATGTTCGTATGTGTTTTCCCTTTTTGTCGAAGTTCTTCCATTTGCTGAAGTGCAGATGTTAGTGTCTGTTTTTCTTTTTGTTGAAGAGAAGCAATCTATCACTACTGGACATGGTTTATCATTTTTCCCAGGCGCACAAGCGAATGGACGTTTTGGGGCAAAGCACTTCGACAAATCAACACGCCTGTTGGCCGGTTTCACATGAAGAAGTCCAAGGGGCAAAAATGGGAACTTTTGGCTCCGATGTCCGATGTTTCAAGCGCGAAAAGGGGAACCAAAAGGGGTTGCAGTATCTACGGGCTCAAAACTCGGCTGGGTGGGTCGCAAGTGGAAGCGCCGCGGATTTTATTTTTGCACCGTTCGCTCCAATGAAGTAAGTCTCAGGCAGAAGGGGCACGACTGCGCTGGGGCCGCGGGTCGCGCACTGAGTCGCGCCCCAATTGACTTGAAACGAGCCACACAAATGAGTAGCGTCTCGAAATGAGGGATGAACAGCGCCCAAAAAGGGTACTCTCAAAACATGACTCTCATAGGTGTAGCTGGTACCCTCTTTCCACCAATCATGGAAGTGGACAACGGGGTTCAGCAAAAAGGAACGCAGTCCAGAACGCTCCTGTCAGCTTCCATTGGAGGGAGGGTATCTACCTGCCCAAAATCGAAACCGGTCACTTTTCGATGTCCTTCCGCTCCAGTCCTTTGGGCAGCGCAGCGAGAGCTGCAGCGGCAGAACGGGAGGCGAGGGCAGCTTTGGGATTTGTTTGGCACCTGGTTTGGTCAAGGGGTTAGACAGTCCAGGGTTTCCATCGGCAAACACGGACGACAAGATAAAGGGATCCTTCCTGAGGCCGTTTTTTTTCCTCCTTTTTTTTTCTGGAAGGGGCGCGTTGTTGTAGTGCTGACCCGTATTTGTTCAATCTAGTAGATTGCGCAAAAGTGCAACTCCCCTCAAAATGATGAACGCCTACCGGATGCTTGTACGCTTGGGTTCACATCATAATCATTGTAGCACATGAAAGCAGAGGTCCCTCGGATTGCCCTTTGTAGGTGGTTTCAAAGAGGTCATTGATCCTGGGCTCGCACAAATGTTAATCTGGTTGATAGCTAGGCGTGCGCGCGTGGGTGTGTGTGTGTGTGCCTGTGTGTGTGTGGGTGGGTTTGTGTGTTTGTCTGTGTCTGTGTCTGTTTCTGTGTGCGGCGTCTCCCCTCACGATGAATCCAGCAAGCTTATTGCCCAAATCTTGCAAAGACCCTTTAAACTAGGTTGTTTGTGGACAGACCCTGCGTCACCCCCTAAAAGGATGTCTCTTTGTTTGTTTGGGATTCTCTCCCTTTGTTGCGATGTTCTAGGCGAGAGAAGCAGAAGTCGCTCTGCGCGTGCAGCAGAACATCGGCAACTCGCCCATAGGCTGGCAATTTCTGTAGAGGCTTGTGGATACTCGCTGGCCTGCTCCGCTCATTAATGGCGGTTTTGAGGTTTCATGATTCATGTTCGCCTAAAACGAGCACGCACGCACATTTTGATTGAGAAAGCCGGAAGCAACAACTACTTCAAAGATAAAAGACACTTTCGAGGATCCTCTTATCTGTGGACTGGCAGCCCCACGGACCCCCCCTGCAGATATGGGCAAATGCTTTTTGTCAAGGTATGTATGTCCTTCTCAGGCCAAAAGGAGCTTGGCGTGTCACCCAATTTGGACAGATATGTATGCATCTACAATCTCCAAAGTCACCATTATTGTCAGAGGAATCTCCAAAATGATCAAGGGAATGTTGCGCATGCTTGGGCAAGAGTCGAGGCTCAGATGATAGGAAACTGACGTAAAAAGCCATAGAATGAAGCGTGACATACTTCGCAATTATCCATGGAAGCCAAACAAGGGTGTCCCCAAAAAGAGTTTCCTTACACAGCATGACTTGGGATTCCATGTCAATCTGCAGGACACTCCCTTGTTCAGTGTTCCACGGTACTTGCACGGCATGCGTCTTCTGGAACTTTTCGGGCTGCTAATTCGGATTTGATTCATCTAGCATGATTTGGCTTGATTTATTTGACCGCCTTGATCATGGCGTCAGACTATTTGGATCTGGGGGTGTCTCAAAATAGTGGCCCCCTAAAATGGCTGGTTGCCTTGTGGCTTCCCTTTCAGTCTCAACCAAACAGGGCCCGAACCCCCTGTGGGAACACGCATTTGACCGATGGGACTTGGATTTGCAACTCGCCTGCCGTGGCCCGAGTTGCACCTTGAGCTGCAATAGTCGGCCACATGGATCCGGCGAGGGAGATCTGGCAAGAGGCCGATGCCGTGTTCAGGCGCGCCAAGCGAAGATGTGTGTTTGCGTTTCTTCGAGGGTGCTGGGCTTGAGGGTTGGTTCAAAGGGAAAGGTAAACCACTCATGTTTCTAGGGGTTGATTCCCCATTTTTTCAACCATTGCTCTTTTCAAAAACCGGCTGTTTCACCTGGGTTTTTGATGGTTTCCTGAAAAGAAGGATCCCTGTCCCCTAGAATGTTCAAAAAAAACACTCTCTTCTGTTTTTTGAGGTTGGTGCCCATTTCGGGGTGTTTTGAAGGGACATGGGCTTGCCCCACTTGTAGACGGCCCAAATCGCGCGGGCAGAAAACCAGGTGTTCAGGGTTGGTCTTCATCCAAATCTTATGCGTATTTGCTGGCTTTTACCATCTTCATCTGATTTATTTGATGATATGTGCTCTCTTCAAAACTTTGGACAGACAGGTGCCCTTTGCAATTAAATTTGAACATAGATGGATTCCACTGATTTCAGTTTGGCTCTCGTGTTCCCACTGCAAACACCTTTCCCACAGCAGCCAGGAAACAGCCTTGCATTTGCAGCGAAAGTTGCTCAGGGTGCTTCCCGGTGGTGGACAAGGCCTGGAGTGCAAATAGCATGGGCGATGTCTTTCGCGGGGAATCACGTGCCATGGTCAAGAGACCTGCTTACTTCTGGGGTCTCCATGATTAGTTTCATGGTTGAAGGTGCACTACACATATTATGTTCTGTGTACCCAAGATTTGGGCCAAGACTTGCGATTGCACGGGTTCGTCGTCCATCCTTTGGGGAAGTTAGGATGCCAACATGACCATGGCCCAGAGAAGTTGTTTTGACTGTGGCACATACGTTATGACACATCATGTGTGCCCATCCGACAACCACGCCCACTGAACACAGGCACTCCTTTTCCGAGTCGACCAAAACCGCTGAACTAGTTTGCAAAGAAGTCGCAAAACTGGGCAGCGGTGCTATGATTTTTGTCGGGCAACCAAAAAGGCAAACCAAAAAGCCACCTGGAGGACGGGGTGAATTCCGTTTGAGACTAACCCTTCCCGACTTCTGCAGCCATCAGGCCTGTCCATCCTGGGGCATGACGTCATGGAGGACCTTGGATGTGGGGGGATGTGACAATTCCCAGGTTTCTCGGCAAACTGACAAGCTGACAGAGTAATAAAGTCGGAGACCAACCACTTGGCCCACTTTGCGATAAGGGGCAACCATTTTCCGGAACCATGTGGGGCTCTCGTCAAAATTCCCAAAGCGTCTCTGATCAAGTTGCGGGGGAAACCGCGGGGGACTTGCTTGTGTTGCCCATCGTCGATGCTAAGAACTGGAAAGCTAAGGAACCCTAGGACACGGGCCAAACGTATACTCGGATAGTTCTGCCCATTATGCGGCGGGCTCTTTTAGCTCACTCGCCTGGGGACCTCTACTTTCAGGTCTTGGATTTTTTTTCCAGACAATTGCCTCCCCTGCTTTTCGTGAGCAAAAGTGGAATAGCCTATCAATTTGTTTCTATTGGAAGCCAAAACCGAAAGGTCAGGTGCCCATGTTGAGTTTGATCATGTTCCAAGACCCCTCCTTCTCCAATTTCTGGAGGACTGGGAGGCTCCCTACATGGAGGCGCTGGCTGAAGTCGCCTGCTCCCAAGGCGGTCGCGTCTTGGAGGCAGGGTTTGTGATTCAAACCACAAGCTGACCCTGTAAAGGGAAACCAAACATACTGTGCACATGTACAATAAATAAATAAGTCAATAAATGAATACGTAAATAAGTACATAAGTAAATATATACATATATGTGCATATGCGTATGGGCGTTCTTTCAACAGTCATTTTAGTGGTTTGGAAACCAACAAACCTTTTAACACTAACAACACCTGTTTACCCTAGAAAGGGAAACCAAGAAGAACCATGCCCTTGTACGCTGAGGGACACCAAGGAAGTTGTCCACCCAGCCAGTGGATCCCAGTTGCCCATATACTAGGTGAGCCTTCATAATGACTGTAAGTTTTGAAAAGTGGTTCTTTGGGTTCCCTATGCAAGTAGTTGGGTCTTTGTCTGACTTTTTCGAGGGCACCCCTGAAATGTGTGGAACACCGTGGTCGTGGGGGTTTCGACCTTGGCAGGTGGGTTTCGGCCTCGGGATCTCGGCCAAAGCCATCGATCGGTTTCCCATCGAGGAGTGCCAGGGTGAGGGGGGTGTCTGGCTGAGAGCTGGTGGTCGGAAGGGAGACAAGGTGTTGGCGGTACGCAGATTTGAGGTATTGGCAGTAAACAGATTTGAGGGAGAGAATTGCCTGTGAAGAGGGAGCTATGCAATTGCAAAGAGATGGGCGACTGGAGGCAAGCCCGTGTCCCTTGACCAACCAATCTTGAGCAACCTTGGATTGGGACGGAGCTTGTGTGCACTGCTCTGTTTTTCTTCCCCGATGCCAGTTTTTTGACCATCCTCCCCGTTTTACCTCGCCCAACAAGACACAGTTCCGCGTTTTTTCTTCCCTGATGCCATTTTTTTGACCATCCCCCCTCCCCCCCTTCTCCCCTTCTCCCCCAAAACCCAGTTGAGCGACAACAACCCCCGGCTTCCCCCTGAAATCCCGGAATTTCCCCGATTTTTCTCGATTTGTCGTCCCCTTATCTTGAAGAATTTGTCTCCTGGGAGCTCTTTCTGAAGGACCACCAAGAAAGCCGAACCGACAGAAGCTGGAAAAAAAGAGAAGAACCAAACCCGGAAGAAAAAACAACACAAAAAACAAAAACAAACAAGAACAACAACGAAAGAAAAAATAAAGAAACACACAACCCCCCCCAAAAAAACAAAAACAAAAAACAAACAAATCGACAGAAAAAAGGAGAAAAACAACGGCTCGCAGAGGAGCACGTGATCTTCGAGGCCAACTCCTCGGTGCTGGGCCGTGCGGGGCTGTGGGCGGAAGGCGCGAAGAATCCCACGCTGGTGCTGGGTGGCTTTTGGCAGGCGGGGATCAACGATCTGCCTTTGGTTTTGTGGAACTTCCCCTGTCTTCCGTTTTAAACCGGCATGGATGGGATTCTCGTGTCCCTTTGGTTTTGTGGAGTTTCCCCTGTCTTCCCGTTTTTTCTTTTTTAATCGGTGTGGATTTGGCTTTTTGCTAGCTTTTGCTTTTGGTTTCCCTTTGGTGTTGGCCTTTTTCGGCAAAGGGGGAACATGTCTGGCAGGTTGAGTTGGTGGCATCGCGTTTGTTCCTGTTCCTTTTCTTATTTCGACGGCTGGAGCTGGGAAAGGCCCTTGTCCTCGGAAAAGGAAAGCGATCTGGGTTTCCCGTTGAGGGTTGGGCAAAATTTGGTTTGATTGCCTTCCAAAGCAATTCTGCTGGGTTTCCCTTTGTGTGTTTTTGTGGTTGCTTTGCCTGACCCGAAAAAGGGAGACCCGCGTACAGATCGCGGTGCATTTGTATCCAGCTTGAGTTTTCCAGGGTCAACTTGGTTTGGGGTTTCCTCTCAAAAATCCGGGGGATGTCACTCAGTTTCCCATGTTCATTGGGATCAAAGGCATGTTTGACCGCGGCTCAAGGTGAACCCTTGAACTTCAGGCGTTTCGGACAGAAAGTCGGACAGGAACCTTTTGGCAAGATGAGATGCGGTTGAGCGTGGTTTTAGCTTGGGCTGCTTTCTGCTGGTGGGTCCCAACAGGGGTCTTTAGTTTCTCCTTCCAGACTCAAGCATTGCAGTTGCATGCCACTGAGCAGAGTTTGTCAACTCAAATGCTACAGCACTTGGAGGAGACGTACGGGCTTTGAAGCAAACTTACTTGGTTCAGGTGCCCTACCAAGTCCCAGCCCCCCCCAAAAGCTTCCTGGGGCCTCACTCAATGCTATTGGGAGTTAATCGGTCTTCTTTACACAACCCTCGGGGGGAAAGGGTCTTTGAGGATGGTGGGGGTGCATGATGGGTGGTTTCAACAGCGCCTAAGTCCAACAACCAACCCCGTTGCATGTATCTAAGGGATGATCCTAATTTGTTCTGGAAACCTACTAAACTCGCTGCACCACCGCTTAAACTTTTCAAAATCAGAAGTGTCAGTGTGCGGCAAGACCAGCCGCGCAAGTCGAACATGGGCTGGTGCAAGGAAGGCGAAAGTAGAACGCAAGTTGCGCCAAGGACAGTCAACACAATTCGTTTGCCTGTGGCAACCGCTCGCTTGAAGTCGTAGCACTTGGAACTGCTTTCTGCCGCAAGCCACGCAGGCACGGCCAGAGGGAAACAGGCGAGGTGTTCAGCAGAAGACTTAACTTTGTTTCGCGGTGCTCGCAGATGAAGAGGAGCTTCCCTTCTTCCCTGCTACATGCCCAGGGCAGGTGCTCCCAGCTGTAGGTAGCTAGCTGTGCGTGGGCGACTCGGTGTAGCACGTTGGGCTTGCTACAGTCTGTTTGAAGACCGCTGCGTGGCACGGAAACGGCCTAAGGGTCTTGAAACGGGGCAGCTGCTTCGGCTCACGTTTGGGCCTACGTGGAGTTGATGGCGCCGCGCCTTTTCAGGCTTTAGTTTCCTGCAGATGAACCTGGGGCCCTATGATGTTAGCGGAGCTGTTGCAGCTACCGTTATCACGTTGCGTGTTTGGACATCCAGGGCACCTGATTGTTGAGGGGGTAGCCAAGTTCTTGCAAGGACATCATTTGCAGCCCCAAGATCCAACCAGACAGGCCGACGGCAGGTAAAAGTGCCGGCGCCGCTTGCCCGGCGCACGCCACAGGTTGCAACGTCCAAAAGCAAAACCATACCTGAAGTTCTGTGGCCAGCCAGGAGGACCAGCAGCATTGGCGTCATAGGGCGTGCAGCGCAAGACCGGGCGCTCTTCACGACCAATCCCATCATTTCTCCACCTTCTTCTTGGTCTCGCTCATCGCCCAGAACTATGCCCCTGACCACGATACCTGTGACAGCTCGAAGCGTGAGGCTCCCGCCGCCGGCCGGACCAGGACAGCTGCGCAGATCAGTTCGGCTATGTGACAGCTCAGGAGTTTGCAAGCGAGTGATAAGTTGCGCCGAGCTTTCGGTTTGCTTAGTGCTCCGCTTGGCTGCAGCATTTCGTGGGCGGGCGCTCATTTTGTGGGGGGGGGGGGGGCCTGAAAGATGCGGTAGCTTGGCCCGGTTTTTCAGGCTTTAGCCTGCTAGTTGTGACAGCGTCCAGCAGCTGGCGATCACATGTCAAAAAAAACGAACAGCCCAAACCTCAGGGGTGGGACACAACCCCACTGGATCTTTGGACTTGGTTTGTTTGGGGAACCAGTGGATTTTTACTGGGCCCACTAAAAGTTTATCTGAATCTGTTTTTGCTGAGGGGTCCGTGACATATTACCGGAGCCAAAGGACACCAACTCGATGACTCCCTGAAACTTCGGTAGGAGCTGGTGGAGTCCTTTGAGCCGAACAGCTTCAGCGGGGTTTTGTTCGACGCCTACCCACTCTCCCCAGGTCGGTTGAAAAGGTCAAACTCCAACCCAGCGGGCGTGTCTCTTCTGGGTGGCCCCTGTATTGAAAAGGGCAAGGGGAAAGATGTTGTTTGTTTTTGGGGGGTCCCCATCTAGAGACAACTGATATGGGTTTTCCCTCGTTCAAGTTGCTGGTTGGGAATCGGGGGAAACCTTACCATGCATGGCTTGGTTGCCTTACATGACTTGGAGCCTAGTTTTCAGTAGGGAATCAATTTGGGAATGAACCCGTTTCGCACCCCTGAAAGGAAACTTCAAAAGGGATGCCTGAGAAATCGTCATTCCAGGGCAGGGGGGTTGAATGCATCTCAACGAGGACTTTGCCAGGCATTTTTGTTGACTGCCACCCGCAGGTTTAAGTCTATTGGGGGTGCGCGTAAAAATGGAACCCTAAAAACAGTTGGGGAGAAATATGGCGAAAGTCAGGGCCGTGTATCTTGGAACCTTGATATTTCGTGCGGAGGGGCCCCAGATGAGTACCATGCCAGGGAAACCGGTTCGATCCGAACCGTTTCTTCTCCGCCTAAAGCACGCAGCTCCAAAGCGGGTCTACCGACGGTTGACTATGATTACAGCCCGCGTCCTCGACTTGCCCAATGCGAACCTTGCCAAAGATGCTGGAGCCCAAAATGATGGAATCCTCCAAAAGGTGTGGCGCCTCCAAGCTGCGCAAACCTGTTCCTCACGACATATGAAGCTAGCTGGCAGTGGCCTCGGAGAAGGAAGATGTGTTTCTTGGGTTGGCGCACGGTGCGTGTGACAGGAGTGCAACTTGTTGCCGGCAGCATTGGCATGCTGCCTTCTAAGCAAGCGCCATGCTGCCAATTGATCAAACATAGGTCCTTTTTCAGGTGGTGCAATCCAACTCAAAGGACACCACTACACCCCCTTTTAGGCGTATTCTATGATTCTTCACGCGGAATGACACGTTCAATGCGCAACTGGTCATGGATATCAGGGCATCCACCAGTAAATGGGGAGCAAAAGAGCCCCAACCAATCACACGGAACCTTCCGACTTCGCCATGCGAGCCTGAAAGGATCCTTCCCCTTTGGGACTGTCAGGTGAAGCCTCGGGGGACGGTGAGGTGGGTGCCTTCTTCCGGGAGGCGGCAAGGCTGCTGAGGCCTGGGGGCTGCTTCACCTTCTACTACGATGCGGGGAGCTGCTCACTTGCAACCCGGGTTTCGTGGTGGTTTGGCTATTGGGGCCCTGTTCAGGCTGGTTTAAAGGGAAGCCAACACAAGGCATAATTTTTGGAGGGTCCTTTTTTGTCGGGTACGTTAGGTTTTGTTCCAGACTGTTGTTCAGGTTTTACAAGAACCAGGGTGAATCCCTGGTTCTTGTAGAGGGTAAATGGCAAGCCACCCCCAACCTCCAAACCACCAGAGGGAAATTGATTTGTGGGGAGGGCTGTTTTCTTCAAAGTGTCCGCCCTGTGTCGTATGGGCGACCCTTACAACGAACAACGGGGAACGGGGCAAGCGTTTCTAAGGGTAGCTTCCCCATTTCCTGGGATCCTTCTTTCTAGAAAACCACCAAAAGCCCTGGGAAAACAGCTGGTTCTTGAAAGGAACGATGGTTGAAAGGAATGGGGAATCAACTCCTTGTTAGTCCCAGTGCAAGGCAACTGGCTGGAGTGCGTGCGGGCCTTCCGTGCCGAGACGACACCGAAGCTCCGAGCGGCAGGCTTCGGGGAGGTGCAGGAGACATCGAGACGGGAAGGTAACGGATGGCCTAGGATTTTCGGAGCTTTCTTAGGTGTCAGGGAAGCGCCTCGAGGTAGGGTTTCCCACTGGAGTTACTCAAGAAACTGTAAGCCATGGTTGGGGGAATGACTCCCTCATTCCCAGTTCCCATCTCCAGATCCCGTAAGTGCTCTTTATTCTGGGCCCCCCCATTAGCGAAGATCGCTGGCTGGTGGATATATCATATTCGGTGCCCAATTAAAACTCACGCCTATGTTGCTTTCAGTGCATGTGATATATAAATATACATATTGAATTGCCGTCTTGTTTCAACATCTGAGTCACAACCAAACCCGAGTAGAGTCGAGTAGATGAAGGTTAGCAAGAGACGATCATAAATAAGTGCGGCCGCCTTCTTACTTCGTTACATGGTTCTGGGTTGACCATTGTTGTACCGGGTTTTGATTCTGACTCATTTGTTGATGTTGCGGCGCTGAATACCTCGCAACATGAGATGTTGTGAGCTGGTGCAATACACTTGCAACCAGAACATGCTTTCGAATTTAGCGCTTTCGAAGAAGACAGCATGGTTTGGTTGAAACTGGGCAAACAAATGGGTTGGACGCTGCAACATGCTTCAACCATGCACAGGGCCAACCAAGACGTTTGGAAGCTTCGAACCCGCAAGCCATGAGGGACACAAAATGCGCGCACACACACACACACACACACGCACACACGCACGCACGCACGCACGCACGCACGCACGCACGCACGCACGCACGCACGCACGCACGCACGCACGCACGCACGCACGCACGCACGCACGCACGCACGCACGCACGCACGCACGCACGCACGCACGCACGCACGCACGCACGCACGCACCCACACACACACACACTAACTACACTACACGCACACTACACTACACTACACTACACTACACTACACTACAGTACACTACACTACACTACACTACACTACACTACACTACACTACACTACACTACACTACACTACACTACACTACACTACACTACACTACACTACACTACACTACACTACACTACACTACACTACACTACACTACACTACACTACACTACACTACACTACACTACACTACACTACACTACACTACACTACACACACTACACACACACACTACACACACACACACTACACACACACACACACTACACACACACACACTACACACACACACACACTACACACACACACACTTGATTCATACGTATGTTCATTAATTAAATGGAAACATGGTCTAACACCTGCGGTTTTCCTTGTGGTTTAAATTTCGACCCATACCCACGTAAGTCCATGAATTGAGCCTGCGTTTTACGAGGAGGACCAGGTGATGTGCCAACCTCGGCCTGGGTGCACCTATTTCTGGAAGGACCGCTTCTTGGTGCCCAAGGCGAGATGGAACACCCCACTTGAGTGTGAAGGGGCAACCCCCAAAATGGGTGGCTCTCTTATGGCTCCAAAAAGACACTTCCATATTTCGATCCCCAAGACAAGGTTGGGGTGAAGGGAACCCATCGCAACCACCATTTGGGGGTCCCCTGTGACACATACCCGTATGAGCAGCTGCCGACCTGCTGACAGTCTATCGTTTGGGGAGGACGAGAAGAACATCGACCCAATTTTCCCGCAAACACCAGGGCTTGAGCTTTCAATTGTCCCATGTGCTGGGGAGAACCTTCTGGCCAGAGCTCATATAAGAAATCCTGGCAGGCCATCCGCTAAGCACGGCAGTGGGAGCCGTCCTGTGCTTCGAGGGCGTGAACCTCAGCCGTGGTTCTACTGGGTATGTGGTTGACCAACCCGCATGCTTTGACGAGAGGGTGCTGGCCGTAATTAGGCAGCCGTCATTCAGATGCTGCTGAATTGGCTTGATCAGAAATAGGATCTATTGGGGGGGATTCCATCAAGGTGTCCTTGGCAAACACAGAACTAGTGGATATAAATTATAAGAAGTTAACGTTTGTCAGCTGGCGGCGCCAGAACATAGCCGCTGGTGCGGGAAGTCCTTCCCAGCTACAACGTCGGATGTGGTGACCCACCGCACATGGGCCTGGCTCTGTCTAACAACATCTACATGGGCCTGGCTCTGTCGAACAAGATCTGGCGGCTGAGTTTGAGTACAACCAGCAGCATCATCATCAGCATCTGCCAGCGTCCAGAGACGCGGTTCTGAGACACAGCTCTATTTCTGTGCGCTTGCTTTGTCGAGGCACGGACGACAGGGTCCGACATGCCGCTGGAAAATGGAGACCGCGCGCGATGCTTGAGATGCCAACACTAAAATAGGCTTTTAACATTGGCATTGAAGTACTCTAGTGGTGGGTTGCTTCTCATCTACCCTCCTCTCATTTCATAGCACCTGACAGTGGGACCCTGCCATAGGTGCGATGTTTGTGGGGCAAGGGTGCGACTTGGGTGCATGGACCCTTTGGAACCGGCTTGCTGTTGAACGTTGAAGCCGGGCTATTCAATATGAGGGTTATTACGGACAGTTTGCTCGAATCTTCTAATGATTCAACGATGGGTCGGCATCTGACTTATTCCCTAAACTATAATGTGTCTATGTATGTATATATATATATATACATATATATATATATATGCACTGCAGCAGTCTCATATGAGATTTTGATCCTAGCCGCAGTATCTAAGTCGTTATTCAACGAGTAGAAATGAGCAGCACTTGCTTGCTTGCGCCGAACGCGGAGTTGTACAAATCGGCACCCGCAGAGTGAGGAGTCATGCTCTGTGTTCTCCAAGATGCTGAGCAATCGCTTACTCGGACACCAAATTGTGGGTTTCCACACCACAAAGGGCATCCCAATTGTGCGCTACGTGCACGAGTTGTCCAATTCTGTGACTCATTGCTTCTAAAGCCCAAGCTTTAGGGCTCAGCCGCATCGTTGGAAGGCTGCACGTCAGGATCTCTTCCAGCTGAGTGAACTAGTTACCACATGAACTATCGTAAGACGTACCCACCGTAGTCCATCAAAGCCAGGCTTGCTGGCTGCGCAATCGAAGCAACTGACACATGTGTCTTGCTCGCTTCAACCGTGCCATGTTTCCCGGGCCCCCCCTTCCTTTCAGTCGGTTTTTAGGGAAACCAAAAAACCAAAACCAGGAAACCAAGCTCCAGATCCAAATTTTAGAGACAGCCTCCGGCTTGTGCATGTGGCTTGCGCACTTTGTGACAGGCCTTTACCCGGTCTATGACTATCCGCGGCAGGTCGCCACGACTTTCACAGGCACCAAGGCACATCCGACCTGAGGTTTCCTCGCATTCCCATCGCTGGCTTACAGGGGAACCTCATGGCTGCTGGCTTGAAGGGGAACCTCATGGCTGGTTCCATTTGTTTTTTTTGAAAAGCAACCCGGAAAAGAGGGGTGAGTCATTCCCGCATTCCCTGCCGAGAACCGGCACCATGCCAAGCTACTTAATCCACACACCGAAAATGAGGAATGAACAAGTAAGGGATGATCAGCAGCTCGCGGTAAGTTGTCCGGATTGTTGTAAGCCACTTAGTTGCAAGGGGAACCTTATGGTTGATTGAACTTGGCTTCCGAAAACCCAGAACGGGTGGCTTGAATGCATCTCAAGCCTGGGTTCGCAGCAACCTCAAAGACTTCTGGGGAGGTTTGGAGGATTAAGAGTCTACCAGGAGATTCCTGAAAGCGCGAGGCTTTGTGGTCAAGTTTCACCCTGAAGGCACTGAAGCCGCTTTTTGGTTGCCAAGCTGAGAGTTTCCTCTGGGATTGGGGAGTTCCTTTGGGAGTTCTCTATTTCTAGTGTGCGAATCATAGGAGTTTGCCCAGCGGGGCCCTGTGTAGGCTTTCTGGACTATGGGCACGATTTCCACACAAAGGCTTGTTGAAGAAGGGCAGATTCCTGCCGGAGGGTGTGAACCCTTGAAATGCCTTTGTTCAATGGCCTTAAACTTTGGTCCAAAAACTGGTTGACTTTTTTTTGTTTTTCCTTTTCGAACAATCACTCACTCACTCACTCACTCACTCACTCACTCACTCACTCACTCACTCACTCACTCACTCACTCACTCACTCACTCACTCACTCACTCACTCACTCCCTCCCTCGCTCGCTCACTCACTCACTCACTCACTCACTCACTCAAGTTCGCACGGGGCCTTTGTGGGTGGGGCTGATGGTCGAACAATCAACCAATGGAATAGTTGCCCATCGGCTTTCCATTAAACCCCAATCAGGGTACCCTGGATCCGAAGGACACCTTTTCGACGACCCTCTGATGTTCAACTGCCTCCCTTTGGTTCACCTGCAAAAGTTGTAGCCCTGACTATAAAAGCTAAGGCCCAGACTAAGAGCTGCCTTGGACTCTTTCAGGGCACTAACGTTCGAGAAGGGGGTTTTGTGCACTGCGCCACCCAAATTTTTGCTACAAGGTGCCCCTCGTCTTCACCTCTCACTCGAGAGGTGCTCCAGCCCACTTCATTGCGCTACGCCCTCGCGGAGGTGACGACTTGAGACGGTTTGACTCGAGAGGAGGCCCTGTTCCCTTTAAGTCCATTCGCAGATTGCTTGAACAAGTCCTTTGGGTGATGTGGAAAAGGCAGGGCATACCAGGAACCCCCTGTGCAGATTCCTCATACTGATCAATCATGTTTTTCAGAAGTTCCTCATACGGATCTGTTTTTTATTGTTATATATATATATATATTTCGGAAGCCGGCTCTTCCTGGGATGTTGGTGGCTTTTAAGTGGTGTGAACATCCCTTTTGAATGTATTTTTTGTTGGCTACGGAAGTAGGAACTTGATACAACCATGATGCGGGTTCCTTTTAAGGCAGCCGTGACAGGCAGAGGAGTCGAACATTTAACCACAACATTATGCGAGGGGTTGCGAAGGTTTTGAGCCAACTTCAAGTCGGCCTTGATCAGAGAGGTGCTCGTTTCACGGGATGTGTGTTCCTGTTCCGTATGCCTTTTCAGAACAGCCACCAATTCTGCGGCTTTAACTTGGATACCCGTTTTTGCAGACAGGTGCAAGATTGATGTTAGGGAATTATTTTGTGCACCATGAGTATTCATTGGACTCGCCTTGGAGCGTCTTCTGAGGCAGGGCTGTCTATATTTCCTCCTTTGTGTGGTGATTGTTTTCTTGAACCTTTGGAACAGGCTGACAAGCCAATAATATTTTCCTGTGGTGTTTATGGGCAGACGTATTGGTGGGATTCTTTGATCAGGGACGCTTTGGTAGATACTGGCACATGGGGTTTATCAAACCAGCAGACATGTTTCATGGGTTGCGAACTTTGAACATCATGGCATGACGTTCGCGCTCAACATATGCAGTAGTCTGCGGCCATTTATGGAGTGATATGAGGTGACTCACTATATTCCTCACAATAGCAGGGGGACAGTGCCGTAACTTTCCATGTCCACTAAGGCCGATTCTGACCGTAGCCCATATTAGCAGCTGAATTAGCTGCTCCAAGTTTCCAAGAACCCTGCAACATACCTCTTGAGCATTCCCCCCACTCCCAATGAAAGGGGAGCTGCTCAAATCTCTTTTTTTTGTATATATACATACATATATATATATAGATATATCTATTCCTGTACATTCCTGTATATTGCTGTATATTCCTGTATATTCCTGTATATATAAATAAATATATATATATATACACACATAGGTCAACAGAAGGGTCTGCTCGAACATGGTTGTTCTTTTGGTTTCCCGGCCTGCCGGCCCCGGCCTGAAGGGTACCAAGCAAGCCTCCAATGGATTGATTCTGCCAGGCATCCCAGCAGGTGAAGTGGTCCGCATCCGGTGATGGCGCCTCGGAACCAAGAGACACGGGGGGGGCCACTTGGGTGGGGTTGGGATGACCCAAAAGCAATGGCTTGGACTTGAGTTCGCCTGAAAGAGGTGTGGAAGCCACCTTTGGAACATTGACCTGTGGCTCTTGGGCTTTGCTGTGTGGCACAAAGGATAGCGGGTTTCAAGAGACCCAAAGGAAAAAACCGCATGTCGGGGTCTCCATGTGAACCTGTGAGTCATGTTTTTTTTGGTTCGGCGGTTTGCAAGCCACAAGCCACACCATCTTTGCCTTGTGAAAGTCTGAGGCCGGGCAATCCTCAGCGGCCTTCCGGAGGATGCGTGATGGCCATTTCTGGATTCCTGGGGCCTGCGTCCAGACAAGCTGTTCTGGGGTACTGTGGATGGACAAAACCCTGCGCTTGGGATGGATGAATCCCTATGGATTCGGAGAGAAACCGCCTAGCAACTGGTGCAGATGTTTGTCCATCCTCAGTACTGTATAGTTGTTCTGTTCTTTGGTTTCTGTTCACGACTGCAAAGAACTGTCAGTTGGCTAACATAGCAAGGGTTGGGAAAGAAAGGGGTCCACACCGCCTCCTGGATTGCCGCAACATGTTCAGTCTCAAAGCCATGTGTGAGCTGACTGTCATGACAGTTGCCCATAGTGCTCACGGCCATTCTTGGCACACCAAGATGCGTGTTTCCAAGCACAGGACCCCGTCACTCACCACCTTTTACAAAGGGTGAGTTTCCATTTTGGAACAACCTAAGCCGAACAGTTGACGCCATCTCACTTTCACCTGCGACCCGATTGGCTCAGGGGTCCAACTCCATTTCTGTCGATTTAAGCATCACCATTTGGCAGGGCCATTCTTGAAGACGAGTTTCCTTGTGGTGATGTTTTGAACAGGAAATCCCAGGTGCTTGGGTGCTTGGGTGATGCTTCCTTAACCCTCGAATGTTAGGGGACATATTCACGGAACCACCGGCATTCCCGGGAAGCAAAACCGGGTCACTCGCCTTATGGCCAGCAGCCCCATGAGCGACCTGCTGGTCAAGCCTCTGGCAGATCGGATCGAGAGGCTTGAAAAGGCACGCGAGACCATGAAGCCACTCCTGGCCTCTTGACTCAATCGGTCGAATTGTCAACCTCATTCGCGTTCCATTTTTCCGTTTTTAGTTCTAATCATATTTGCACATGTGTGAGCAAGCTGTTTGACAGGGAAGTTGGACCTGTATTGGACATGTTTACGGGGAAACCAAACGGACGTGAGCCGCCAGGAGGGAGTAGGCTGTCATTTTGGGAGGTTCGCAGGTCATGGGCAGAAGCGGATATGCTGCCAAGGAAAACACCTTTCAGTTTGCCAACAACTGCGAAACGGCCGAGTGCTTAGTGCGCAGAGTGCTGTTTGACTTTCTGGGTTAGTCCCATTCTAAGGTCCTACTTGGTCTTGCCCTTCAAACAAACAAGGAAGTGCATGGCGTATTCTTGTCAAGCGGATAGTTGTCTTCCAACAGGCGTCTCTGCACTTCTGTGTTTAGAGGGATGGAACCTGACCTGAACATGCACCAGTACAACCCATTTACGAACGCTGGCTCTGGTTGGATGGGTTTGTCTCAAAATACGGGGACCATTAAAATGGATGGTTTTCCTTTGAAAGTAGCAACGAAACAAACCTGCCCAACTCCCAAAAAAGAAAGCATATCCGTACGTCCATTTGGGCGTGTGTTTTTCTGAAATCCCCCTTCTGGTTGGTTGTAAAGCGAAGCCAATGGGAAACTGCGCCCATTCTGAGGGTCTGTATCCTCGTTTCGAGGATTGCATGTTACTTTAAGTCACGCATGGGTCTATTGTTTGAGGGATTGCGGATTTTGCGATTTACAGAGAGGACTATGCGCTTTGTGGATTGCCAGCATAAGGTTTTGAATCACACTTTGCAGCGCGGATTGCGGACTAAGAAGATTTCCGACCAGAACAAGGATGAAGCGGATTACGGATTGTAATTCGGCCATGGATATCACGGCCAGTTTGCTGCAAGGACCTTCAACGCACCTTCAAGAAGAGTCCTGCCCCCAAACCCTTGCCCAATCCTCAGAAGTCAAGCTGTATGTTACCCCTGGATCTCCGGCGCAAGCCGGTCCTAAACCCGCACGTTTGGACCGACTAGGTGTCCATTTCTGGACCCAAAGTTGTTTAAGGAAAACCAAGCAACACCGGACATCTTGAGGATCCCTACTATATATGGTTAACCAGGCTACAGCTTACAACCATCTGGCTGGTGCTTCAGGTGGAATGAGTTGGAATTCCCAATTTGGCAGAACCATCCTCCAACCCCACCCCCCCACCCCCCCACCCCCCGAGCGGAGGTCTTCCGGGAGTTTCGCATCGCTTGCGTGCATCTGCGCAAGGAGTCGGAGGTGCGAATGTTTTCAGAGCTCTAGCAAAAGGGACGCCAAAAGGATCTTTCTTGAACGGGCACCTGTTGCAGCTTGATTCAAAAGATTTTCTTTTAGATAATGATATTGATAAAAATAATAGTAATAATAATAATAATAATAGTAATAATAATAATAATCAATAATAATAACAAATATAGTTGTAAGGGTACCTTTTTCAGCTTGGTTCCAAAGGGTTTAGGCCTATGTTGTTACACGGTCGGTTGAATCTCCGCCTGGAGGTTCTGGACGCCTTGCAGGAGAAGGATATCGCGTGGAGGTTTCTTTGCAAGCTGAGCAAAGAAAGGCGGACGGAACACAACTCGGGGGGGGTTGTTGTGTTTTTGTTGTTTTTTTTTGTTGGGTATATTGGAGTTTGAGGGGTGGGTCATTTTTTTGGTATATTGGGAGTTTGAGGGGTGGGTCATTTTTTGTTGTTGTTGGTATATTGGAGTTTGAGGGGTGGGCCAGTTTTGGAGTTTTGAGAGGTGGGTCAGTTGGGGTGTTGAGGATTGCTCCTTGGCCTTCAAAAGAATCAAACCACGAGGGCAGAATATTGGTACTGGGTCCTTGGTGTTTCTTCTCCAAAGAAGAAATTTCCACGTCTCTGGAACAACCCTGAGAAGTCGGTCTTGAAGCAAATCAAAAACACGGACGGACGTGGGTGATTTCCATCTCAAAGGGGTCAACTGTTGGGTATTTCCATTTGTCTGCCTTTGGGTAGTAAAACAATAAGTCGCTTGCCCCATAATGCAGGTTAGTTGACTTGGATGGATCATGTATGCCTTGTTCTGGTTGTGCCTTCCACAGCCATGAGGCTATGAGTTTGAATTGGGGAGCCTTCGGTGGAAGTTAGACTTGTGCGACAGCCACCTACTTGCGAGGGTGCTCCCAAAAAGGATCCTGGTCATGTTTGACCCTTTTGCTTCGACCCCTTTCAGGAATTTTGCCCGTTCGCGAGCAATCTGCACCAATTAACACCCCCACGTCAAGGTTGTTTTCGAAACAATGCCGCAATTCCAAAACTGTACTCACTTAGATCTTCGCTGGTTGACCCCCAAATCAGTGGAACCGCCGTTTGCTTAAAACCAAAAAGGACCATGGACAATTCCCAGAAGGCATGATGGATGTGGTTGCCAGTAGGGTCTGTCCATGTGGCTTCCTGACTTTCCTGCTGGGAGCCTCTCAAGGCGGATGTTGAAATGTGGCCACCGACATACAGGGGATGTTGGGGATGTTGGTGATGCTGGCGATGCAACTGGTGATGAATGGGTCCTGTTTGTGGACGCTGGTGACTGCCCGCGAATGATTTTGTTGACCATCGGGTAAGGCTTGTGGTGTTTTGCTTCTCGCATGTTGGCACGATCGGCACGGCTTGGTGCGCCTCAACCATGCATTGTTTTTTGTGGACAGCCAGTTGCACGGGATGGGTGGCATGTGCTACGGCGCTTTTTTGGGCATCAATTCCAAGATCGCCCAATGCTGGCTCTGGCTGGGGGACTTTTGTGTGGCTATCGGGGGCGTGTGGCGCATTGCTTCCCACACTGTTCTTTGCAGGCTGCTGGGCCCACCGTTTGCATGGCGAAATTGCGCCGCTCTTGTAGCCGCCAATCCTGTAGCACGGACATTTGGCATATTTGACCATTTGTGTGAGTGCTACACTTGAATGGATCCATTCATAGTGGCGCGTGCCCGATCGACACGCTTTCCGTTGTTTCCAAGCTGAGAATGCGCCATTGAGCTGTCGTACTGCAGGCCTTTCCTGCACGACCGCGTCCACGAGGTCTTGCACTTGTTGATGATGAGCAAAGCCTGGATGAAGGCACTGGCCGAGGCGCGGAAGTGAACAGTTTGGTCCCGTCTGGCAAGGGTTTCCCTTTGGTTTCCTGCAAGTACCAACCAAAAAGGGTCCCATTTGCTGAGGCAAAAGGTTCGATTGAGTCGTTTTAGTAGTCTCTCCCAGCTCCCTGGCATGCACAACCCTCCCTTTCCAAAGAGGAGCATCCTTTTTCCGCAAGTCTGTGCACTTTGGTTGGTTGTGAGAGGGTATTGGAGCACGATTGTTCTAGCTAAAAACGACCCGGTTTTGCAGGGAGTCTGTTTGACCAACATGGCCACATGTCTAATCCATCAACCCGCCTGAATGTGAGTCCCGCAACCGTCCCAACACAGCATCAATGGTTTTGAAGGCCAAGTGGCTTTGGAATGGGCGATGTGGCTGGGGGTCAAAACCCTGTATGAACATCAAAATCGGTGGCAAATGGATGTTCATCCACGGGTTATGCCCCATGGCCATGTCAATTCTTGCCTTTATTGGAGTCGTAGCGTGCAACTCGCAGGATCCGGAGTGTAAGTATGAAGACCTGCCCCCGGAGATGCAGAGTGAGATCAAGCGTCGGGCTGAGCAGGCCTGGTCTTGCACATGACAAGGGCAGTCGTCCATGTTGCAGGGCCTAGGCGACTGGAAAGGGGTCGCTATAAAGGGAACCATGACCATGCTGGAGTTCTTCTCGCTGGAGTTAGACATTTCTTTTCAGGGGGTGGCTGTTTTGAAGGAAGCTGAAAGGGAAGCCGGAGTTTCCCCTAGACCGGCAATAATCTGAAGTCGACAAATCCCTTGAGTTTTTGGGGCCTGGCAAACTCTGGGCTTTCGAGGATTGGGATGGGGAAGTGTCAGTGTCCGGCACCATCTTTGCAGCCTTGCCCAGGAGCATGGTTCTGGAAAATGTTGCACAGAAATTCCCTTGACCAATAAAGTAGTCATGGGAACGACCCGCATTCATGTTACAAGGGTGATCTTCATGGACCAGAGAAATCGTCCAGGCAATGGATCCAGATGCACAGCCTGAAGCTGGATATACTCCGCCAAGGAAGGCTTCTTATGAGGCCGACACTCGCGCCTGACAGGGTTGAACCCACGAAGTCATGAACTGTGCATCGGGCTTGTGGCTGGTTTTATGAGCTCTTGTGAGTTGGGCTCGGAGACAGCCAAGCGCATCAAGCTGAGCCAACATTGCGCTGGTCAGCCTGAAAGCGTGTGACCCGATCCCTTCAATCCACCCCAATCCGGACTGGCGCGAGCCCGTGGCGAAAGTTGTTTCGACCACCCCTTGGAACCAAGCTGATTGGTTGAACTGCGTGGGTGGCAACTAAGACTGGCACGGGTTTTCTTGTTGGTTTTCCCTTTGCCCCCCCAGACCGTGCTTTTGGGCAAGTAGTCCATTCACCATGGACCAACCCAAGAAAAGAGGCAAGTCCTGCATATTTATGATACATATACATATATATATATATAGTATCACTACTATCATTGTTCTTGCTATTGTAATGTGTTGTTTATGGTGGGCACGCCACGAGGGTCATGTTCCTGCCAGCAAACCCAGTATCGTTGCATGATGACGAAATTCCAGGCATCATGCGCGTTGTTTGGGGGGGTGAGGGGGGGGTGAGGGGGGGTTGAGGGGGGGAGGGGTAGTAGCGCTCGATGTTGACGACATGCAAGGCATCATGTGCGTTGTTTCGAGGGGGCATGGGTAGTATGCTCAAACCGGGAAGGTTTGCTTTTTCTGCTGGCTGGGAGAAGATTGGTCTCACAGTTTGCAGAGCATCCGATATTGTCATTGTTTGTATTTCAGCTTTTTTGCACAAACACCCTCTTAGTTTTAAGGTCCCCGGGAAGGTTTGAGGGACTGCTTGTGCTAGCTGGAAGAAGATTCGTCTGACAGTTTGCAGAGAACCTGATCTCGTCACTGTTTGTATGTCAGCAGTTTTTTGCACAAACACCCTCGTCCCCGGGTGTATTTTGAAAAAAAGTTTCTGCTTGCTGGGAGGAACTTGGGCTCGCAGTTTGCGAGCATCTGCCAGAGCCGTCAACTTTTTTTGCAGCTTAACGTAGGCGTGCGTTTGGCAAATGAGCGATGTTCCTTCATTTGTTTTGCCATTTCACGTTCGCAAACGCACGACGCCTGAGTGGCGCCCTTCCCTCGTTGATGATAATAAGAAGTATTACTAGTGTTAGGCATTATTATTAGCATTAGAATTTGTATTATTATTAGTGTTGATAGTATTATTAGTATAGTATTGTTAGATCAGCATTGTTATCCTTACTGTCATTATTGGTATTGGTGTTTTTTTCATTGGCATTAGTATTCTTATTGTTTTAGTGGTATTAGTACTATTACCATTCTTATTGTTGTTATTATTATCATCGTTGTTATCACTATGCTGATTATGTTGTTTTTTATTCACATATAATATATATATATATATACATTATATATATATATACATATGAAGACCTGTACACGAGCACAGGTCTTTTGCACCGGTCCCTGTGAGGCCTTCAAGGCCAGCGGCACCATCGCGGTGGTGGTGCAGCGCTGCCTCAAGGCCGGCCCGAGAGCTACCAGCAATGCTTGGCCTCTTGTCCGGAACAAAAACACATACAGTTGAACAAACAAGAGATGCTTCTTCTTGCAAGACAAGAATTTTGAAGTTGAGAAAAAAAGATAAACAGGATTGAGCAAACATGAACCTGGCCACTGGTACCCCAAGGGAAACATGGTA